AAAAAAAAAAAAAAAAATAGATAAATAAAAAATAAACCCCGTTGGACGGACGCGCCCGGTTTGATTAATGACCCGACCTGGCCTGCCAACAATCGTACACCGGCTTATCACAATAATAATAATAATAATAATATTATGTAGTACCTACCTACTAATATCAAACTGGCGCGGGTGTATTATACGTTTTCTGAGGTCGAACCACGCGTAGATTATGATTTATACGGACTAGCTTTATTATAATATTATATTATATTTATATATATATATATATATTAACATATATCGTACACGGGCTAGTGTAAATGTTATATACAGATAATAATGTATGTATATATTATTCAAACAGGATGTCACGGCCTCCCGTGAATCTCAAAACCGGATTTGAACCGATTAATTGTAATAGTAATGGTTTTTGAAATTTTTTTTTTTTTGGACTTGGTGTCGAATCAATTTTCGTTTATTAATCGGGGCACCTGAGGTGGGAGGGACAAGTGCAAATTTTCACCCTCCCCCGACCTCTAGGGGTACGCGGGAGGAGCAGTAAAAACGCTGTCTATTGTTTTTTTTTTTTTGTAAAACCCGGACTACCGATAATTACCATGACGGTCTCGAACCTCTTGTTCTTTTTAAACATTCCAAAAAACGTGTATGGTTTGGTTTTTTTCTTTTTTTTCGTCTACTCACGCTACCGAATGTGTTGTTTTGTGTACATAATAATAATATGAATATGAATATAATATACCCAAATCGGGCGAGGACCGTCGCCGTCGGTCGGACGCGGCGTGTAAAGTGAATGGAAAATAGATCATTTATTTTATTTTTATAATATAATACATATAGGTATACGACGAGTATGCGATTTTAATTTATGCGCGGCCGAGGAAGGAAGTCGAGAGTTGAATAGAGCTTAGGTTTTGATAGGTTTTTGATTCGCGGCTTGACTTATACATTAAACCGGTGCATAATACCTACTCTTGACATGATATTTTAAATGAATATAATACTATTAATATATATATATATACCTGCTATTAGAGAACCGGCACGTCACGACCCTCAATGGATATGTTTGCTCTGGCGCGGAAAGAGAGAAAAAGGTTTTTTTTTTTTATAACGCTTTTAGGTTGTTCAAATATTATAATATTTTATTATATTCTACTGTGTACCGCTCTTTCTTAATGCTTCTTTTCCATCGTGGTAATATTTAATAATACACAGGATATGTGTATGCACCGTATATGTTAATAATGCATTTTCACTAATGGTTTTTTTGTATACATATTTATATGATATGTACATTTTTTTCCCTCTTGTCTTTTGTGTACCGACGGAGGAGCCGGCAACCGGTTCCTCCGGGCAGTGTACTCTGTTATAGTAACATTACAAAAAATGTATATAAAATACACAAATTCTTGCCGCGTTCAATCGATAAAAATCATGGAATATTATTCCTATACTTTTGGCAATGCGATTTTGTAAAAAGAGAACATTATTATATTGATGTTGTTAAAAAAAATCGCGGTAATAAATTAAAATATTCGTATCGCATCGATGGATGGACTGCGGTCGGCGAACAGGTTATCGGTAACCGACTGGTTTTTATTTTATTTTTCTTCAATTTTTTAATCTTTAATTTTTTATTAATGAAATCCGCATCCGGTGCTAAAGTCTCATCCGAACGTCTTACAGTCAAGTAAAGTACGCAACACTCGGCCGGCTCGTTCAGATTTTTAATAGATTTCGTTGACCCGACCGAGAACGCCTATTGAAGTGTCGGGTAACCTAACGATATGACTAGATAATTCCTGCATTTTTTACATTGGGGAGTTGTTGGAGCAAATACTACTAACCATTTTTTTTTTTTGAAGATAGAAAATTAACGGTGGTAATATCTGCGTTCAGAGCATATAGATGAATAAATATTAGCGGTTACTTGGACGATTTTCGAGTCAAGTCTGTATGGAGACCAGGAGTGATAATATAGTCGGTTATCATTTAAATCTTATCGTTGATAAGGAATTTATACAATATTATTGTAAAATATGTGCACAATAATTCATGCGGCCACACTGATATCATCGCGAGTCCCTAATCGGTCCTGTTAATATTTTCTTTGTTTTTGACCGAGTTGGCTATGTTTTCATATTAAAGTCTGTGATCATACTATCGTATGAAATTTGAATTTATCTATTGATCTGTACAGTCGACAAGGAAAAAAATACTTCTAGCACACTCGCACGTGACCTCAAACGGTAAATCCATTTTGTTCATCATCCGTGCTTTGGTGCCCGAATAAATGTGTTCGGAAATTATTAGTCGCTACTGGCAACATGTATACTGTATAGCTCTCGGTGGATTATGATTTAAAGTGCCTATCTAATGTGTATTATTATTATTATTATTAGTATTATCCGTATCACAGTATGGTTGGACGTTAATACCACTAACGTCCAACGGCGTATGTTTCTGTCCGAGTAATAATGATCGAGTGCACAGTTTGCGATGAGAATTAGCCGCGGCCAGACTACCACTGGGAAATATGAATTTAAATAATACTCTAAAAAAAATAAAATCTAAAGACCAGTTTTGGACGTCTTCTGATAATATAATAATGTAATTCTTAATCGGCCGACTATAAAAAAAACCGTCGCGCCAACAGCGACACTTGTTGGTATTTTCGTGTGCAACAGAGCCGATTATAATATTATGTATAATTTATTGTTGTAAGTCCTACACCTGCGTTTAAGTCTCCTCTACCCGTGCATATTATTATATAGTTTTTTTTTTATCGGATTAAAATAAAAAAATAAAAAACTTACTAGCGCTCATGTGTGATAATGTGATATATTTGACGCAGCGTGGGGTGTACACCTATGTGTATATATATATATATATATGTATATTATATTGTCCAAAAAACATATATAATAAAATTCCCTTGTATAATTTTTGTCTCTATGAAGACATTATTATTATTATTATTATTATATTGTATTCCTATATATTATTATAATATTATAATATACACAATATACCTATACACAGTAACATGTACACACTTACCTACGGATATATTATTATTAAGACTCCGGTTTGCCGCCCGGCGTGCACCGCGCAGAACCGGTCTGTCCAGAGGCGGCGGCGGCGGCGGCGATCCAATGTGATTACTTGGCAACGTCGCGGGGACCTGGCCTCCGTTGGACAGAATGAGGTTGGTGTGTGTATATGTATATGTATGTGCAACACATCCTATACTATACTTAGGTACACGCTACACAGACACTAGTGTGTGTGTGTGTGTGTGTATGGCGGTGGTAGTGTGGAAGAAGGTGGAAGAACAACATAATGTTATACCTGCCTACTGGACGAGGAGAAAAATTTAATTTTCGAACGACAGAGAGAGTGATGATCGGGTATATAAAAAAAGGCTTCCAGTGTATATTGGCCGCAGAGCACAGACTCCTCGCATGTGACCATGAAACAACGTTCATCCGTTCTTATTATTACACTGTGAATGCCGACGCGTACTGTCCATAATATAATAACGTCGGTTTCCGTTTTTTTTTTTTTAATATTAATTATTATTAATAATAAAAGTATTACATTTTTTCCCTCGTTAAAAATATATTATCAATTTCACTAAAATGTGACGGCCCAAAAGGCCGGTAGTCTCGTTCGAAAAACGCTTTGTTGTTGTTGTTATTATTGTGATGATAATCGTAATCACAACAATATCAGAGGGGTTGTACTCTGTTGATTGACACTGGGGAAAAAAAAAGTAGCGTCGTAGTCTCCCTTGACTCTTTAATCCGCCCCTGCAACGTCGACTACCTGGCCGCATTAGTATACGTATACAGGGTGATCGATGTAACGCGTGACGAGAACGTTTCGCTTTATAGTACCCTGTTAATATTTCATTTTTTTTTTTCTTTTCAAATAAAGATCATCGTCCTTTTCAAAAATAATTCTGGCTGTCTAGGATTTGCAAAGCTTATTAAACCGAGAACCGGCTAAACAACCAGTTTTGATTAATTACTTCTCGCGTTATAAACGTTTTACCAGAGTGCGTGTAAATTATCTGTGCGAATTAAAATCATTCCACCTCACTCCTCATTGCGTCGTTATTGCGCGGACAATAACCACTTGAAAAGTAATTATTCGAAGTCGATTACGTCATCTGGTTTTAGTAGGTGTTTTTTATTCCTGAAAATTACAATATCCGAAATTCGATAGTAATAAACTCTTGTAATAAAAATAAACAACACGAATTTGATTTTTAGAGGTAATATCAGCGCAGAGGTAACGCACTACGTTAAAACCAATCACCCTGTATACTCTGTCGGGTTCACCGCTGCCGGGACAGGTGGCTTACGCTACTTTTTAACACCCACTATTCCGCCCCGGCGTTGGCTACCGACGCCCGCCTCCGCTGTATTATTATTATTATTGTTATTATTCTTATTGCTATTGTCCATTGTCGTGGTCGTTCCCCCCCCCTTGCCCTCCTCCGCCCCACTCCGTCTCTCGCGGTACGGCCGACCACGGTCCAGACAGTCCCCGCAGGCCGTGAAGTCGTGACCAAATGAGACACTAATTTCACCGAGTAGGCACAACGCGTTGTCCGGATGATTGTACTCTGGGACGGTGTAGTGTGTATAATATTATTATTACGAATGCAGAGAAAAAGATAGCGGCGCGCACATTGGGCAGGGCCCGTTGTTATAAAAAATATTGTATAATAACGTCAATCCTTGTTTGTCTCGTCGGTTTTAGGAAAGAAAAACAAACACTTTGCGTGTAATGAGGGACGAAACCCGATACACGTTTGTGCGGTAAAAGATTTCGTTTTTTTCCGTGTTGTCGTCACGGTCCGTTGCACCTTTTGTACGCTTCGGTTCACGTACGGGAGCCCGTAAAAAATGCCACTGTCTAGGGTCCTCTCGCTTAAGTATACAGAGTATAACGAACGCGCTAACGAGTTGTCGTTGTTGTTGTTTCAGGTACATCCATTCCAAGGAAAAACCGTTCAAGTGCACGGAATGCGGCAAAGGGTTCTGCCAGTCCCGCACGCTGGCCGTGCATAAGATCCTCCACTTGGAAGAGTCGCCGCACAAGTGTCCGGTGTGCAAGCGCAGCTTCAACCAGCGAAGCAACCTCAAGACGCACCTGCTCACGCACACCGACCACAAACCGTACGAATGTTACTCGTGCAACAAAGTGTTCAGGCGCAACTGCGACTTGCGCCGGCACACGCTGACGCACGCGGTGGGCGACGTGCCCGCCCCGGCGCCGACGTCGTCGTCGTCCGCCACGTCCACGCCGTCGTCGCAACCGGCGCACCACCATGACGACGACGACGACGACGAAGACGAAGACGACGACGACGAGCTGTGCTCGATGTTGGTGCAGAACCCGGAGTGCGAGAACGAGGACGAAGACGAAGAAGTGGACGTGGACGAAGAGGAGGACGCCGGCGAAACGGCGGTGGCCGCGGGCGGTTCCGCCGCGGACGGTAACTCGTCCGCCACCGGCACCGCCGCCGCGCAAGCTTCTCCGGAGGGACAGGCCGACAACAAAGAAGGCGGCGGGCAGATATCGTTGTTCCAGCATCGCGGCGTGCACGAGACCAAGTGTCACGACGAGTCGTCGGCGTACACTATGCGCCCGACGGCCAACCAACGCGAACAGGCCAACCACGCGGCCGCCGTGTTGCACGTCAGACGGGATTTGCACGATCCCAGACTGTCGTCGGCCACCGTGGTGCCGCCGCCAGCGTACCAACCGCAGTACCAGCCGCCGTCTCAACCGGTCGCCGTTCAACCGCATCGGAACGGGCAACCGCCCAAGCGCAAGGGGTTCAGCATTGACGAGCTCATGAGTTAGATCGCCGGCAAAACGTGGGACGAAAGTGTCATATTATTTTTATAAAAATATACTTATATTATATGTTTTTTTACATTTTTTTCTGTAGAGTTTAATAATGGTTTTATTTGTTGGTATCCAATGACCGAACGCGCAGTACCGTCCGTCCCGAGTACAGGGTAGTTTTTTTTTTTTTTTACAAATATATTTGGCGATCCCAAAATTCGCCATCGCCCACCCGTTGATTGATGTGGGCCAAAGCGAACGCTGTAAATATGTTTATGGGGTTTTATTATTATTATTATTATTCTTATTGTAGTACTGCAGTACCAGTAAAGCATTTCATTGTCTACCTTGGGATCAGATCTCAAAGACTCGTGAGACAGTGTACATTAATAGTATAATATGTCTTTTTATTTTGCTCTACATTTAACCAGACAATGTATTTATATAAATATTATTGATTATTGTTGTTTTAAGTTAAAATACACACTGTTACAACATTACACCTTTTTCAGTATTTTGTAGCTATTAAACTTGTGTAGTTGTAATCAATTTTTATAAAAACAACATAATATTATCTACTTGACTGATGCGAAACGTTGTCGAACTGAATTTAAAATGATATTTTGTAAAACATTAATTATTTAAGTGTTTAAACATTAAAGTAAAAAAATAATGTCGTTATTTTAACGTGCATAATGTCAAATGTATTATTGTGCTAAATTGACATTTTTTTTACGCGTGAGCATTAATTTTTATTTCATTTTAAACATGTAAAAAAAAAAAGATAGAGGTAACAAAATTTTTGTTTAGTGATCTCAATGTTAAACGTGGATTGCAAAAACGATAAAAAAATTTTAAAATAGCCTTCTACTGTGTACGATAATATTTAAGGGCGTATACTATATGACATAACATTTGACCGGTTAATAGTAATAAAACAACATTTTGTACAATTTTTATCTTACTATATTTTGTACTGCTATTGCCTTAAACCGTACTTATGTCCATTATTATTATTATTTTGTAAAAAACTTATTATAGACTGTTATGCGTTAAGGTTCTTTTGATAATGGTTTAAATATTTAATATGTTTATTATTTTTATTGTTCTTTTTTTATATATGAGTAGTGTAAACAATTTTTGTATTTATATAATATATATATATTATTATTATTATTATTATATATTATATTATGGTGTTCCATTATATTATTTCCGTGTACAACTCCGACGGAGTTTATTTAATCGTTTTTTTTTTTTTTTTTTTGTTTAAATAGTTTTCTTTTTTTCCAAAATTACTATTAATGATAAATATAATATTTAGAATGTTTTATTATTCGGAAATTAATATTATTTTTTATTTATGCTAATGAAAATCATAGTGTTTTTTAAAATATAAAATAAATAAATAAAAATATTTTTTTCAAAATACATTTTTTTTTTGTTATACATACAGTATAAGACAGTAAATCTACGGGAACTGTCTACGGCTATCTATAACGAACATCGGTCCAAAAACGGAAAAAGTTAACCCGTTTCCAGTTAAAATCTATAAAAAAACACTAAAAAAATGTAACACTTTTTCATCTTAAAAATACTGCATTTGTATCAGAAAAGCATGTGCATTATATTGTTGATTATCAGGCAGACCATCGACCCTAATGCTAAAAAATACCATTTTAAGCACATTTCTAATCAAAACCAGCATAGAAATTCTAATTAGTGGAATATATCAATTAAAATATCTATGCAATTTCGAAAATATGTTAGAAATATTGTCGTTTTTAATTGAATTGCTTATTTCAGTATCCCTTCAAGTACGCAGGGATTTCTGTATTATGCACATAGGCGGTTTCCCAAATAAGCGATTCAATTGTAAAGTAATTAAAAAACAATAATTATTCAAACTTATGTTATGTTACATATATTTCAATTATTTTTTATTTTAAGTTTTAATTATCGTTATTGTGCCAAACGCCAAGATAGATAATGGTGTGTTCGACGTTGAATAAGTAAGCCAAACGTGAAAAAGGTAAATGAATAAGTCATGATGTTGAATAACTACTAAATAACAGCTGTCGTAGGTTGCACTAAATAATTGTTGTGCTTTGACTCGAAAAACGTCATTTATAACGTTATGCAGTTAAACACGGAAAGTTTCGTATTAATGATAATGAATATTCTAAGCAGAGAAAGAAATTAAATGATTTGTACTTAACTTACAGAAAAAAAAGAGAGGAGGGGAAAGGAGGGACATATCACATATTCGCGATCCAATGTTTTTTTTCTTCGAGGAAGTTTTGATTTTGTAAATTTGCATTTTGAGAAACGCGCTCTTTATATTTTAATTCATACATCAGTTTTAACATTTTCGCGTTACACTTTCAGATGGTGATAAGAGATAAGCGATAAGAGATAACATGTCCACGATTCAATGTTTTTCCGTGAAGCAGAGAAAATAACTAGAATTTTTTTGTTTTGTTTTAAAAATTGTGTTACCAAATCTATACGGTTGTATTCAAACGGAAATTATATTTTTAAACATAACAACAATTCGAATAATTATAACGAATAATAAAATATCTGTTATTTATTTTTGTTCGTACAAAGATCCGGATAACAGTTTTAGATATATATTTTTCGTTTGAACGAATTTAAATGAGAAAAATCGATTTGAATACATTTATACTGATAATACACCGAAATTAGCATGCCGTTATTAACGTTCATGTGGCCGGCTGCTGGTACATGATAAATCTCTCTCGGCAGCCGGTTGACATTAAATTATGCAAAGTACTGCGAGAACGTGTCGGGATTTAAATAATTAATCTTTTAATATCTCAAATCCCGCACAGAGGTCATCTATGTACGTATATAGTAATAATATGTCTTTAACGGCGGCTCAAAGTCCGTCTAGAAAATAATATATAATATTCTCTTTATACGGTAGTGTAATAATAAACCGAACCAGTTTTGTTTGTCCGGTCTAGTTGGGTGGGAGTCATAAAAAAATATCGTTTTTTTTTTCCCTTCTATATTTTACACACAAGAATGGGCGAGTGCAGCGTTATTCATTCTTTTATGCGTGTACCTTATAAAAAAAAATTAAAAAAAAAAAAATATAATAATAATCGAATCTCGGTGGCCCATCCCGCCGTACTAGACATATGTATGTATGTATGTATTATCCTTTTATGTCTTATATATGTTTTTTAATCCAGTTTAGTACAATAAAAAAAAAAAATGTATATATATATTATACACATTCTGGGCCACGGGCTATTTTGTCGGACCTCTTGCCGAGCACAATATTTTAAGGTGCTGTATAATTTTACACAATAGTCGATCGACTTATTAACCGTGTAACCCACCTAAATCGGTATACGTATGATAGTATTGGGTACATACCTGTGAGGGCGAGTGTAACATTTCGACATTTCGGTAAAAAAATTATGTCAGACGGTCCAAGTTGTATTATATTATTACATAGTATGCAAGTCGAACACTATATGGGTCTATAACGGCGGTATGGTTTGCGTGTACACCTAGACTAATTGAAGGGTTATGGCAAATCGACATTTATCCGCCCTCGAACGCCCCCGGGTTATTTATCCTGAAATTTTCAAAAATATTTACCTACAAGTATAGCTGTTAACCGTGAGTAGGGTACAAGTGCGTTATTGATCACCGATCAAACCCGACCAGCTGGTTAGATTTTTCAGTATTTATGGCACGTTAAGTATCGATGTGTGTGCAATTAACAAACTAAAAAAAAAAAAAAATAACAATAAACTATTACTCCAGATAGAGACGCTGTTTCAAGTAAACAATCCGGGTTTTTTTTTTGAATCCGAAAATGCTTATATTCACATTGTAAATTCATTTATAACGTTTTTTGCATTCACGCGTATCAATATTGTTATCGCAATCTTATCTCTTATCAGTTGATTGCCACCTCTAATTAACACTCGCGGTGTTGCTTTTTCGTATAGTTTTTGGATATTATTTGTTTCCATTGTTGCAATGTTGTGTTGCTTTTTTAAAAAAAAAAATCACATTGTAAAAACATATTTTAAGTAGCCAAGAGTGGTCGGATTTGCTAGTTTAGGCACAGTACCTAGGGCTAGGTAAAAAGTATAATTAAAATATTGCCATATAGTTGGCAATAGTATCAAACCTACCTACGGAGAGCTATTAGTCAGGCACTCCCTAATTTCCTCTTGTTTACTAATTTCTAATAGAAACCTAGTCACTCCGTACATTCATTTCAACGTTCTCAACTCAGCTGTTTCTATTTACTTTTCATCCGTCTTATTCAACGGCTACTTTCATACATATTTACTGACCATCTTTCTGTCACACAACACTCGTGCTCCACATTTTGTGTGGATTGAAGCCGGGCAAAAAAAGAACACAATTAAAAACGGTCTCCATAGTCGGATAACGATTATTGGTTCTATTGCGGTTCGCCGCGAATCACTTAATTTCCATCACAATCAAATTACACGGCATCGAGTCACGTCATGCGTGACAGATAGGTACTGAATAATAATAATGATAATTATCGTTAGCGCTCATAATATTAGTTAGCTAGCTTTGCCGGGTATGGACGGCCAACGGGTATGAAGTACCACCTACCCGAGGCACAGTTGGCATACAAGTGCACTAGCTATCTGGTCAGCGTTGAAGGTGTAGAAAAAAAAATATTAGGCGATTATCGCGCATCATGACAAAACGGGGCTTGTTGAGCACATGTGCTTTACTATTATCCACTTATCAGGTATACCCGTATTGTTATCCCATTATTCAATCCGGTCAATTAGTCCGTAGACCGGCCGTTGTTTATTGTCGGCGAGCTTGCTCGCGTACCGGAAAAATACAATATTACCTATTGATGGACAGATGCAATCTGACCGATCCGGTCACAACGACGGTTTGTAATTAGGACCCAAGAGACTGCTGTGGGTTTCTCGTTCCACGGTTCGGTTCAACTCGGCTCACACACAAACCCTATCGACACAATATTACAGCCGTGTTCGGGCCAAGGCGAAAATCAAATCTCCGCAGCTGTCCAACGCGTTAAACAATGTTGTTTTCCTTTAAAAAAATAGAGCCTCCGGACCGGCGGAATACATTACTATACACCCGCCTATATACCGTAGCAGCAACGGGTGAAAATATATTTAAATGTTTCGGTTTAAATTATTTTTCTTGTACAGACAACGGTTTTCGTTAGGTCCGACAATGCAACGCATTCTTTTGTATGGTAGTTAAAAACATCAAATACGCCTACTAATCGCTACCACGGCATACCGCCGAAAAGAAGATGAACTCCGCGGTATTATATTAATACACACCGTTAGCTCCCCGGTCATAGCAAATTCTAGTAAAATATCCTACGACATAGTTAGCCGTCAGATAAATTACACACCGTCCGGGTGTTTACGTGGAAAATAATAAAAAAGAAGCTGGTCATTAAAGGGAAATAAAAAATTAACAAATGGATGTCATCATTTATAATATTTAAACACATTCAGAGTCGTTTGTAATTGCGTTTATGAATTATTTAATTTTAATGGTAGCCGTCCGGACTCGAGTGTTACATTCTGGTTAGTTCGACAAAGAACTGAATAAAAAAAAAAAACGTGTTTGTGTGAATAGTAATTAGTCTTAAGAACCAAGTTGATATTACTTATGTATACTTTTAGTAATATAGAATTTCTATAATATATCATTGACACGAATCAAATGGATTATAGATAGCTAACGATTAAAGAACGTTAAACGAATAAATATTTGATTTATATAAAAATTCAATTCACAGAACTACTACGGTTTTGTCTAATTTAGTTCTGTACCTTGGCCTTAAGATAGACAGTGTCAAATGTTCATAAATATTGAGTTTAAACACTCAACAATCTTTTATGTTGTGTTTAAAAACAGCCCTTCCGAGACAATAATTTTAAAAGTTACAATAAGTTTTCTAAAAAATTACACAAAGCATAAAAACAAAAAAAGCTAGTTTTCCAAAAATACCAAATCTATGACTAATTATATTTTCTCTCCTAAATTCTAATCTGGTATTAAAATAATAAAATTTAGATTTTTTTTTTGAAATTTGCTTACAACTTTGGGAGTAACTAGATTTAGACATTTATACGACCATTTATTAAGATTTATAAGATACAAACTTATAAAGAATGTCATAAAATCG